TGAAGATAGGAGATAATTTGCAACTAATAAGAGCATATCCACTAATTAATGTGTTCATAGATATGAAATTTCTTTTGAGGCATTTCAACAAACATGTTATTGGCATCCGACATGAGCTCATAAAAAATGCATAAGAATTCACACAAACCGAGTTGAAAACTTGCACGTTTGATCAGTTTAACAGAAAAAAGGGAATACTCAGAAAGCTTCGATTACAATTTCTAATGACACATATGCCATAATGAAGTCGCTTCTTGTATAATCGATAGACATGTAATGCTTCAAAAGGTAATTTTGATTATTACTAATTCCAAAAAATGAAAACAGCTAATCGGAAATAAAAAGCAGAAAGAATGGCCACTTTATCAGTGTTGAAAGTCATTTGGGTTCCAAAGAAAAGTCAAACGGAAAAACGGAGAAGAAGCGACCGAACCTTAAATCTTAAACAATCTAAAAGAGTATAGAAGAAAAGGAGGTGTAAACAACTTGAAGTTGTTATTTCAAAAAACTAACCATATATGAAGTAAAAATTAGATTTTTGAGACTGGTAGCTAACTCAACTAAAAATCCCAAGCAGAATTTCAAATTATAATAAGAAGATGAACCATTGGAGATTAGATTACCAATTTCTCATGACCTTGAACTCTTCGTTCATGAATTTTGGACTTGATCAATAAAAAAAAGCTGATGTTATATGAATCTATGATGGTGGTTGGCCTGCAATGAGATGGTCGACTGGTGGAGGGGAATTGAGGCAGCGACGCGAGGTCGTTGCGATGCCGATGGTCGATCATCAACAGGATGAGAGGAAGAGGAAAAGAAGGAGACCTTCAATCGTTCAGTTTCTTGTGTCTTTTCTTAATGGGACAATGGAATCGAGGCGATTGATTTAAAGGAAAAATGGATCATGTCCTTCTCGGTAGAAGTAAACTATTGGTGAATTAACGGTGAAGCCATCTCTTTAATTTGACAGAAGCGGTGTTAATTTGGAAGAAACGTGGCATGAAAGAAGGAAGTGGAAGGGGCGGTGGAGAAGTAAAGGAGGTCAGCTTGCAACTGATGTTTTTAAGAAGTGGAAAGCTGATATGGATTGATGATTCAATGTACAAAATCCAAATGGAGTCTATCCATGCTTATATGTAAAGATATTCGGCTGATGTGTACCGCCACTTAGCCAACATGTGACATCCACCTAGATCTTTTTGCTGATACGGAGGCTGCCCACATGTCAACCTCTAAACATCCTCTCATTTTAAATGGAGGGTTCTCAAGCAATGAGGTTTTTTGTATATATATATAAGATATATATATATATATATATATATATATATATATATAGAATGGCATCATGTCATTATGATCAAAAGTTTGAAAATACCTGAAATAGTAAAAGTAGTTTTACAAAATTTCTACCCTATAGTCTAAGGAAGCTAATTTCATTTTCAAGTTGATAAACATTACATCATAAAAACTTAGAAGACAACAAAACTAAAAAGATGTTACTTTATTATTAATTTAAAATCCATATCTTTTAGCATTTGGGAAAATAATACCATGTGTTACATCTAGAGTAGAACATTCTAAAACAGAAGAAACAACTTTGCTGCTTAGAAAATCTTCATAAGTTGAAAAAAATATGAATCCAAAGGAATTTCTCTCTAAAAAAAATAATAATAATAAAAAATAAAAAATCAGTGATTGATGAATATCGGGCCATCTTCCACCAAAAGAAGTTGGTGTTAGTGTTATAACAAACCAATATTGCTTAAAAATCAAATCTGTAGCTTCCATCAATTGAAAAGGAACTGATGTTGACCGATGTGGCGTTGTCAACGCGATTTATACCAACTTATCAGTTTTGAGGAGCACTTGTGAGTTTTTGAGGGACACTGATTCATTGTATATAGGTTCTTTTAGGAACATTTGTTATGAGTTTTAGAAGATCGTTGATTAAATATTACATATGTATCTTCTGTGGAAAAAGTTAATTTGAGGTTTCATTGTTTAGGATGAAAACAGAAATACACAACAACAAAGCAGGAGCCCAAAATGGAACTATGCAAAAGTTACAGATTAAGGATGAGAGATTGTTACCATGACCCAGAAAAAAAAAATTCAACAGAAATCTTTTTTACAGCGTAATATATAATAGGATTTTTCGGGTTCGGGTTATACAGGTCGGTTTGCTTGCCCCAAATAAGGATTTTTTGTTTTTTTATGCCAAATTTAAACCAATAATTTTCCTTGTAATAACATATCTTCAACTAGTTATTATTTATATTACAAATTACATTGAGGCATATTTATCTTCTTCCACTATCAAACCATTATTCAAATAGAAATCTGTAATAACTAAGTACTAACCCTAAAAAAGGACTTAATTTTACTTGTTTCATTAACAATAACTAGTTTCAAGTTCCAAAAACAAACTTAATTTCATGTTTCAAAAGTAATAACTAAATGCTAAGCCCAATGAAATACACCTAATTGCTAATTTCAAGTTTTTTCAAGTTTTCAATAAAATTACAAATAATTTAAAAACCCTAACAAGGACTTAATTAAAAGAATTCATCTAAAAACTTGATTTCAAGTTTCAACAACAAACAATAGCTAACTATTAACCCTAAGTCCCTAATTAAATAAACCTAATTTTTAGTTTTTAGTTTATCAACACAATGACAAATAATGAAAATTTGAAATAACCTGACAATAAGTAATAGCCTAAATAGGACTGAGTTGTTTACTTGTTTCATTGTGATAGTTCGAAATCGCCGGCCGGTGAGAAGGTAGTCGGACGCAGGAGTCGGCGGCAGCAAATCCACGGCAACAGTAAGCAGGGGGCAGGGGGCTTCATATGTCTTCTGTCTTCTGTTTCTCGCTTCAGATTTTCACCAACAAATTATCAAAAGGCTGTGGGCTGCCTCTTATTTCACTAAAAGTAACTGGGCATTAATTTGGGGTTTGTTGTTGTTATAAAGTGGGTGTTTGGATAGCTTTTCAGACAAGTCCTTTTTAGAAAATAACTTTTTGATTCATTTCTTTTTCCAAAAGATAGTTTTAAAATGTGTTTGTTTAAACTTTTAAAGAGGGAAAGGGAAAAAAGGCAAAAGTTGCCAAAAGTCACACATCCGTGACTTTTTAAAAGCCTCATTTTTCTTCTTCTCAAAAAGCTAATTTAAAAGATCTTTTTCAATTACCAAACAACTTTTTAAACTTTTGACTTTTTGAAAAAGCCAAATGTCCCAAAAGTCATTTTAAAAGCAAAGTCAAACACCCTCAAAATATGAAGTTAAATTAAAAAACGATGTATGAAATAAGATCGTAAAGAACTTTATTTCATTATTTGTGGTAAAAACAACTAAACTTTATAATATATAATACTCACTATTTATACTAAATAATTTAAAAGGTGAGGTATGTTAAGAATGTTCATTATAGTGATGCATAACTATACTCTAAAACTAGGGGTGACAATTGTTGACACGGCACGATAAAAATACACGACACGAAACGAAATTGAAACGAAACTGAAATTCGAATTCGTGTTGGTGTTAAGTGTAAAAAACACGATGTCGTGTTCGTGTTTAAAATTTTACACGAAATTGACACGATTTAATATTTATTTTGTCGTGTTTTTCGTGTTTTTCGTGTTTTGCGTGTTATGTATGATTAAATACTAATTAAATAAACTAATTTTTTATTATGTTATCTTTGTCGTGTCGTGTCGTGTTTGTCGTTTTTTAATCGGTTCGTTTTCGTGTTGGTTAAAAAAAACACGATATCGTATCGTGTCGTGTTCGTGTTACATAAAACATTGTCGTGTCGTGTCGTGTCAGACAAAAACACGACACGATGGTCCGATTTGTCACCCTTATCTAAAACTCATAATAATGTTTGTTATAATATTCACTGATTATAGAGAGTAACGGGGGAATATGAATAGTCATTCACCAAATAACACTTCCCTTTAAATGATAATTTTATTATGTTTCGTTAAAACCTTAATAAGTAAAACCTTATGAAAAAACATTTTTTTAAGAAAAAAAAAATACTTGTAATAATTCATAACATGCTTAATATTTTTAGACTACCTAGACACTTGGGTTGGGATACTTTAATTATGAGTTAAATATGTCAAATATAAAAATTTAAGTTTAAAAATTATATAATTTAGAAAGTTTTATATACCAAAATATGTATTTTGATGTTAAAACGGCGAAAATAATTGATGGGTTTTTTATTTGATGTGTTTTATTTAATTATATCTAAAAGAATAGAAATATATTTTTTAATGTGTGTTTTATTTAATTATATCTAAAAGAATATAAATATATTTTAAAGAGAAAATATCATAATAGTTTTTTTCCAAAGTTTTTTTTATAAAACAGCCATAAAAATGAAAAAAAATATCAAAATAGTCATAATTTTTACAGGCTATTATCTACAAAAATATAGGTAGCCTACGAAAATGTTTTTTTTTAGATTTTCGCAGCAAGCTAACACCTGTGAATTTTAAAAAAAAAATTAATTTTGAGATTTTTGTACGCCATCATGGGAAGCCAAATTGTACAATGATTGTTATAAAGTTCATATGAATTTTTTTTGTTTTAATATTTCTACTGAATAGTTACTTTTATCCTAAAAAAATGACTTTCTTAACATGGGAGTAGAATATGTATATGAAAAACTCATGTTACAAAGAACAAAATAAAAAAATTTCAGCTGAATTTAATTTTATATGCAAAATTTAAAACGAAGTTGAGTTTTTTTTCATATTTTTCACCTACTAATCTATTTTGGAGCTAAAAAGTATAATTACCCAACATCCAAATTGAAGTGTAACATTTTCATGAAAAATCATTGTTACGATTCAAATGGAATTCCTATGAAAATTATGAATATTCGAATTTTGAAAATAATTTTTTTTTCATTTTTCACTGTCGAAAAAGTTTATTTTAAGATTTAAATGAATTTAAAAATATAATTTTATTTTCATTTCTCTCTTACACTATTTTTTTTCTTTCATCTCTCTCCGGTCACCGGAACATAGCGTTAGGGTTTATAATTGGATCAGTGTTCTGAATTCGCCTACGCTTTTCAACTACATAAGCGAATACTGGTTATCAAATCTGCGTTCGTAAGCGGTTAGAAGTATGAATCCACTGACATTAGTGAAGCGTATTCAGAACATAAATTCAAAGGAAGCCTCATTAGGTATTTCCGAGGATGCTTCATGGCATGCCAAGTATAAAGATTCAGCTTATGTGTATGTTGGGGGTATTCCCTTTGATCTCACCGAAGGCGATCTTCTTGCCGTTTTTGCTCAGTAAGTTTCCTAATCTTAGTTTGAATAATGAAAAAAAGTTATCTATAGGAGAATCATGTGAAGATTGCTTGTTTGTTCGTTCATGGTTGTATGAAGTAGTAGTTTTCTTTGGAAGCATCGATGTCAGTGCTCAAATCCACCTATTATGATATGATCGACATCATGAATTAGGGCATGAATCTAGTACTTGTCTCCTGTACTAGTCTCCTAACAGGAGACGATTCTTTGAAGCTTATACACACCTTTAGACACACCTATACATAACCTGTGTTTATATACGCCATGGATTAGTAGTTTGATTATGTTCTGTAGAACACTGATGATAATCTTGTAAGCTTTTGAAGTCAAAATTGATTATGTTGCTGCCTGTTTTAACTGACATTCATGAAAGTGGAACATTTTGTTAACCTAGTTAGTAACATGATATAGGTATGGTGAGATTGTCGATGTGAATCTTGTTAGAGACAAAGGAACTGGAAAATCGAAAGGTTTTGCTTTTGTTGCATATGAGGATCAGAGAAGTACAATTCTTGCTGTAGGTTGGTCTCTCTATCTATCTATCTATCTATCTATCTATCTATCTGAATTCTGAATTTATATCTATCTATCTATCTATCTGAATTCTGAATTGATTGTTGAGTTGCAGATAATCTGAATGGTGCACAAGTTCTTGGGCGTACTATAAGAGTTGATCATGTTACTAAATACAAAAAGAAAGAAGAAGAAGATGAAGAGGAGGAACAGAAGAAACGAGAGGCACGAGGAGTGTGTCGTGCTTTTCAGAGAGGTGATTGTACGCGTGGCGCTGGATGCAAGTTCTCTCATAATGAGCAAGTAAGAAGTAACAAAGATAATCTATTAATATTGTATCCTGTTTGGACATTAGTTTACTTTGATTCTTTCTCTTTGTTTTGGGTTTGAATTCAGAGAGCTGCAAACACGGGTTGGGGTCCTCAAGATGCTAAGAATTCAAGGTGGGAGAATGACAAGTTTGAAGACCCAACAAGGAGTGAAAGAGGAGGCCCAGGCCCAGGCCCATCAAATCGAATGCATGACAAAGATGCAAAAAGTTTGAATGTTGAGAAAGAGAGGTACCAGAAACGAACAGATACAAATGCAAGAGATGAAGACACCAGAAGAAGCAGTGACAGAAGATTGAAACATGGGAATGGGAATGGGGAAAAAGTAAAACCAAGGAGGTATGATTCCGATGAAGATGGTGATAGGAGGAAGGAGAAAAGGACGAAGCAGGAATCGGAATCGGAATCGTATCGAAGAGAAGGTGACAGAAGTAGGAGGGAATCTGGGTCTCGTGACCACAGAAGGAAGGATGAAGAGCACCGTGTAAGTGTAAGATCACACAGATAGTTTTGAAATTGTTAAATGGCGAATCTGGCAGGAGAAGCCAATTATGTATGTTGATGTCAAGATGTTGCTCCCTTGATTCTGGTTATTGGCTGTCAATCTGTTGTTTTGAGGTTTTGTAACGTGTTTAGGTACATCTTTTAATTTTTTTTTTTTTACAAATTAATTTCGTATGATGTTCTACACCTTAAGTTTAGACAATGTTTTACCTATTTTTCCACCAGTTTAAGTAATGAAGTAGGTCTTGTGGGTATTTTTACACGAAACATGCAATGATGATTCGTTTTAGGACCAAATGGCTGAAAATTGATTGCATAGTTTCTACTTTCTAGAGTAAATTACATAAACCGTCTTTTTTATGTCTAAAAGAATTTTTCCGGCTGGGACAATTCTTTAAACTTCTCATTGTTGCATGTTTTGTCCCTACCAAACATAAAAAAGACAGTTTTACCTTATAGATTTCATTTTCAGATTTTTTTTATCATTTATTTGTTATTTATCATTTTATAAAACCAAATCCATTACCCCCACCTCCTTTTCTTTTTGTATCTAGATTAGCATGGAAAACATTAAGTCTGTAATGTTTTGGTTTCTTTTTTTGTAACAAGTTACAAGAACGTTAACGAACTTGAAGGTGTTTACATGTAAATAGCAATCATCAATCATCATCAGTTATAAATAATTCATCTTCAACCCATCTCAGCATAGCAAATAGCAATCATCAATTGCATAATCCTATGGATGAAAATGATTAAAAGAAAGAAACTAGAAGAAGATTTTGTGTTTACAAATCCATCACAACTACAAGAGAACCTAGGGTATACACATGGCTACGCGGGTGGAGATCACTGATGGTGGGTACGACTGGTTGAAGGTAATGGAGAGAAGGGATAAGGGCAGATGTGACCCAGATTTTTCTTATTTAAGTTAGTAATAATACATGTCGACAAATACGCAACAAAACAAAGTTTAACATTCTTTTAGGGACAAAAATCGCAAAGCAGATGAAACCGTAGGGACGATTTATGTAATTTAGTCTAGTTTCTATCAGTTGCATAGATTAAATTGGTAAAAAGATGAAAAATGAGGAGCATTTAGCTGTTATGCTATGTCATGACTCAATACTCATGAGCTAAAACCATGAATGCCAAAAAGCTTGAAAATGGCTTTTACTCCTGAAAGACTGGACTCTCAAACCGGTCTCATGTCATTTGTCAACAAATGATGACTCAGCAAGATCAATAGCACGTGCAAGACCCGCAGCCTTGTTCTCACATTCCCTCTGCTCATCACCAGGATCACTATCCGCCACTATACCCGCCCCCGCCTGAAGATGAGCCACCCAATCCCGCCTCTTATTCACATCCCTATACGAATACATTGTATCATAACGTGCTGCTGTAGGGAACACAATCGTTCTCAATGCCAGAGCAATGTCCATGTCTCCTGTGAATGAGATCCCTCCAAACCCACCACTATATGGCCCACGCCTATTCACCTCCAACCGATCAATCAGTTCCATCGCTTTCACCTATTTATATATTTGTTTGAGTAATTATAAATAATGATGAAAAGTAGAGAAAGAGAAGAATGAATGATTTAGAAACATCACCTTAGGGGCACCACTGACTGTTCCAACAGGTAATGCAGCACGAAGAGCATCCCAACTGCTCAACTCATCAAGAAGCTCTCCGCTCACTGTCGAGCTTATATGCATCACATGAGAATATCGTTCCACGTTCATCAGCTTCTCTACTTTAACAGAACCCGCTTTTGAAACCTAACCAATATGCAAATGGCATTACTCTTTAATTATAATAATAATAATATAGTTTTTTTTTTTTTTTTAAAAGAAAAAGGAAAAGAAGCAGACCTTGCCAACATCGTTTCTTCCTAGATCAACAAGCATGATGTGCTCTGCACATTGTTTTTCATCGTGAAGAAGTTGATTTTCCAACATGTAGTCTTCTTTGGGTGTCTTCCCTCTCCTGATCGTCCCAGCAAGGGGTCTATTTGTAACTTTTCTCTGTCAACAAAACACAAAATTTATAACAGTTTGGTTGCCTTGTAGGAATGGAAATGTTAATTATTATTATTATTATTATTACCTTCTTGACACGGGTAAGAATTTCAGGACTTGAAGCAACAAGGATACACCCTCTAGCCTGGGTGCATAAAACACAACACATCATCACATAAATAGCTTGTAATATGTGTCTTTTAAAAGATAAAATACCAATTACAGGTTTCAAAAGAGCAGACAACCTGTAAGTAAGTCATATATGGACTGGGGTTCACGATTCTGAGTGCCCTGTAAATTTCAAATGGATCTGCAAAAGTACGCCTTTCAAAACGTTGACTTAACACAATCTGAAATATATCCCCAGCCAAAATATGTTCTTTAGCCTGTAAAACTGCTTCCTTGTATGCTTCACTTGTCATGTTTGAGTTTTTCAAAGAAGGCCCAAATAGGTTGGTATACAGCTTAATTGACCCTGGAGAAAGTCTTGGTCTGTGTACACAAGTCAAAAGTCAAATCAGAAAAAAAATTAAGTTTGACTTTTTATTTAAAATTGTAGTACTCACGGAACAATATCATGAACTCTAGACACTAAAGCCTCCAATCGGTCTGTTCCATCTTTAAAAGCTTCATCTACAGAAGAATATTGATCCAATCGCACCCAATGTATAACATACGCTTTCTGTGTGTTTTACATATTAAAAAAATAATAACCAGTAGCATTATAGAAGAAGGCCTAAGTTGATAATGTTAATATATTATCATGGTCAAACCTTTTCAACATGGTCAAACACAATGACATCATCATAAAGGCCAAGATGAACATCCGGAAGGTTCCTGTCATCCTCTGGTGCATTTGAAAATGGGATTTTTTTCTTCTCTACATATCGCACTGTGTCATAAGAGAAATAACCAACCCACCCACCTGTATTTACAGAAATTGGAAACTACATAAATAATGTTATTGAACATTATTTTTTACATATTTTTATTATTGATAAAGAAATGTAAGTACGTTGCTTTTATGAGTAAAGAATTGGAAGTATGTTGCTATTTTCTGCAAGTTTCCCTATCTCAAAATCTTATTCTTACCACAAAAGGCATCAGGGAGCTCATCAATTCTTTGAGGTTTCCATTGTTCCATTATCCTCCTAGGAACAACCATGGGATCCTCAACAAACTCCTCTGTTTTCCTCCCTTCATGGTGGTCCATAACTGTAACCATATTCTCTTTTGCCACAATTTCCATTGTAGGCTGAGCTCCAATCACACTGTACCTCCCCTAACAAGATAAATCCGCTACTTTAACATGTATAAAACAAAATCAATAAAAAAATTGGAAGATCATTTTAGTAGGATTAAGAAAAGAAGTGGTGCTCACAACATTGGAAGCTTTTAAGCCTGGTTCAACAGATTCGAATAAGAAACTTGGTGCATCACGATCATCTTCTTTGACCAGACACCTGTAAGCCAGAACTGGAGTCAGATGATCGGAAAATATTGACCTGTATAATGGAATCAGATTCCCATCCTTTGCAGCTTCCTTGAATTTCACTGAATGGTCGACTGCCAAAACAATATCAATCCCAAATCAAATCAAGTAAATGAAAGAATTAAGAAAAGAAATTATGTTAAACATATAAGGGCAGTGATCTAATGTAGCAGCTTTGGTAGCATTCAGGTAGTTAGCAAGCTATTAAAGTCCCTATATAACCTAAAGCATGCATCAAGGCAATAGTTCCACAAATCAACCATATTTTTCAGAGCAAAAGGGTCATGTTGATCTGCATGCTATTCCTTGTTGTTAATCTCAGGAGTCAGGAAACAATGATGTAATGTAACAGTTTTGGTAGCAGTCACGTAGTTGGATTGGGTTGTTAATGATGACATGACATGATAATATATAAAATAGTCTCATCTGTAATTCTCCTATTCATACTTGTGAATAAGATATCAATTCAACTCGTCCATAGTTTTATCATCTACTCTCCAACTCCTTTGATGAATTCGAACCAAGACTGTCAAGATGTTTCCACGAGGAATTAACATAAGCAACTAAAGTAGCAAACCAGGATTTGTCGAAAATGAGAAGGCAATGAGGCTATCAAATTGAGGATGTGAATTAATGCAAAATTAGTGGAAGTAAGAGAAAGAGTACCTGATGCAGTTGGAGATCGAGCAGAGCATCTGAGAGTGAAGGAACGAGAGGTGGCGCTGGAAAGAGCGATGGAGGGAGGGAGGGAGGAAAGACGAGGGTTAATGGAGGAACGGTGGATAGAGGGCGGGAGAAGGCGGTGGGAGATAGCTAGGGTTTCCATTGATAGTCAGAACATTGGACGGAGATGGAGGCTTATGTGTTTGGTGTCTTTTTCTTACATAGAGGACGACTGCTGCAACTGTAGAGATTCTGCGGATTTTATATTTCGCAATTGAAGTGCAAAGTGGCTAGGGCTGTAGTGCTTGTGCATGAGTCGTTTATCTCGTGCTGTGTCTGTCCAGTTAAGTGAATGTGAATTAACTGCGCCTCAAGTCAATTGACCATACCATAACTCTATTTTGGAAAGTTCCTTGGCTTATCAGTTACGGAATATGATAATATTTTATGAATCTTGAAAAGAAAAATAGTATAATACTACTAATAAATTAATTGTTGAAATAAAATTTTGTTATAAAACAGAAAAGGAGGTATTCACGAATTCAATGACTCGGTAATTGATTGCCTGTACTATGTATAATAAATAGATTGTGATAATATTAAAATAGGAAATCGACTAAACTAGCCATTTTATAATATAATAAAGTTAAAGAAAACAATCTTTTTCATCTTAAATGATCAACTAGTCTGGAATGAGGATTACAGACCTAATTTCGTGGCCGGTATCCATCCCAGTCTGTGGCCCCTTATATATATATAACATTTCGGACCCTTGCTTTTTAGAAAAATGACCTTTCGAACTCTTGATTTTTTGAACAATATGACTTTTGATGATTCAGAGAGGAACTGTTGTGGGTAAGTTTTTTTACAATAAGTTTTTGGGAATTTGACTTATTAAGGTAATTAAGTATTTCAAATGTTCACATATGGGTAATATTGTTTTTTTTGTACTCATTTACCCAACTAACTTGTTTCACCCGTTCACAAATAACCAACTTTACCGGCTATTGTAGGTTTTGGGTGATGTGGCATCTACGTGGCTTGTACGCTGCAATACTCATCACCTACGTGGCATTGAGAAGTGTTTACATTATAAGAAGGGTGAGATACGACTGCTTATTAATTAAAACCCTAGATCGATCGATGACATCTTCTTCCTCATCCTTTTCTTCCAAACGACAAGACGAATTGCAACCAGATCATCCATGTGATTACGACTTGCCATCTCGTATGAAGACATCAAGAACCCCAGACAATCCTGGAAGGAAATTCAGAGTTTGTCAAAACTCACTGGTAATTCATATTTTTTTACTTCTTCTTCATCCTTCAATTTAACATGTTTTTATAAATTTCTTGAAGAATGGAAAAAGTCCAAGCTGTAAATTTTGGCAATGGTTGGATGAGGATGAAGGGAGGAAAGATGGAAGAGGGCATTACAGGATGAAAGCAGAAGAAAGCTGCAATCTTACCTTGAAAATTTGTACCTTGGAGAATGAAATCAGCATATGCAGGATGAAGATTGAAGAAGAGAAGAACAAGAATAAACAAGAACTTGACAAAGTCAATTGGAAATTGTTTACACATAGACTTGCATTAATTTTCTTGTTTCTCTTGTATGTCAAAATGTTGTTTTAAATTATGTATTATGATGTAGTATGACTAAATTATGTATGCTTTTGTGATGTTTTCAATGAAAAAGGTTATATTCAATCATTGGAATGGAATTGTACATTGTAATGGAATTGTTATTAAACTTGGTAGTATAAAAGATAGTAATAAACATTTTAATGGAATTGAATCATTGTAATTGAATCATTGGAATGGTAGTGTGCAAAACTTGTAATGTTATTGTGAATCATTGGAATTACATTGTTCAAACAATGTAATGGAATTGTGATTACACTATAATGGAATTGTGATTACAATTGATATTCTAAAAGATGGTAATAAATTATAAACAATACAAATGGTATTAGAAAGATGTGCAAAAGGTGGTAATACATTATAAACATTCCAGGGAACATTGACTTCAAAAGATGTGTCAAAAGTTTTACATAACATAGTTAGACATTCATTACACCCAAAAGATGTGCAAAAAGTTAAACACTACACACTTAAACATGCATTTAAGCTATTCCAACTAGTTTTCAAAAGATGTGCCAAAAGATTCCAAAGTTAAAAGATGCCAGTCAAAGATGCCAAAAACATTAACAACAGTACAATAAGCCAAAAGTTAATCCAATTCATACGGTTTGTCATCACTGCTTCCCTGTTTTCCCTCCCACAATTTGGTTAGCATCTTCAACTTGAACTTGCACTTCAGGTTCAACTTCAGCTTGAACTGCAGGGTGAACTTCAACTTGGTTAGCATCATGAACTTCAGGATGTATTTCAGGTTCAACTTCAGCTTGCACTTCATCTTGAACTTCATGTTGCACTCCATCTTGGACTTCAGGTTCTACTCCATCTTCAACTTCAGGCTGCACATCATCTTCAAATTCAAGATCAAAAGAGTCAACATCACTTTCAGGTTCTATTTCAACTTCACTGTCACTGTCAATATCAACTTCATGTGCCAATGCATTATCTTCAAATGCAACCTTCACTTTACCTGTTTTGCATTACTTGAAAAGTTAAGTTATGCCAAATATGTTAAGTTATACAAGTTATATATAAATAAATATATCAAACATACCATCTTTCTTGGATTTCTTTTTCTTTGAACTTGCATTTGATGATTCCCCAATTGGTTTCTGAGGACAGGTTGTTCTATTATGCCCACTTTCCCTACATATGCTGCATTTCATCACACTTCCTCTTTTTGTGATTGAATGCTTTTTTCCTTGGTTTTCCCTCTCAATCTGATCCCTTTTCCTTTTTGTTGATGGTCTTCCTGGTAGCCTTCTCCTTTTGGGGGGCAATGGGCTGATGTAGTCTACATGAGGCCACATGTCACTACCATTTAGTGGGTTAATGGTATACCTGTAACAGTTTAGGTACATTGATGTGGTAAACCATGGTGACACATACTCCTCTACACCCCTGTTGAGGCTTGCAATGCAAGCATACCCATGCACACAAGGGTAACCTGTTAACTGCCAGGTTCTGCAGGCACATGTCCTGCTACCAATATCCACAACATATGCATCATACCCAAGTCTGACTTCATACTGTTGATAACTAGATGGTATTACTTTCCAAAACCTGTCCATATACACATGTTAAAAAACAAACATATATAAGGACAAACATTTTTAAGCACTTACCTTTGAAGATCCTTAAGCTTGGACAACTTCAGCCTAATGGTAGGACATATGGTTAAATCCCAAGATTGCCCCTTAATCTTCTGTCTATAAAGCCTCTCCATCACATAAATTCGAATTTCTTCTAACATGGTGATTAGTGGTCTCTTCCTGGCAACTTCAATCACAGAGTTGAAACTCTCAGATATACCATTTTCATATGCATCACAAGCCCTATCAGTCTGAAAAAATGCTTTACTCCAAGTTTTAGGGTCCCTTTCCATCAAATGGTCATAAGCTAGTGGCTCTAATTTCTTGATTTCATTCATGTGTTGTTCAAATTTTGCAGGGGTAGTAGCTGCAGCAGCATACCAGAAAAGCTTTCTAAACAGTTGGCCCTTAAACCTTTTCATGAAGTTAGCACATATGTGCCTAGTACATTGCCTATGCTCTGCTGCTGGGACCCTTTCCTTCACAGCCTCAAGTAATCCCTGTTAGCAATAGACACAAAACTTAAACAACAAAAACATAACATAAGCTAAAATAAAGATGGAAATAATAGAAATTGATTACTTTGTGTTGGTCTGATATCAAGGTTAGTCCATGCCCAACTCCCATTCCAAGGTCCTCAATTAGAAGGTCAATAAACCACTTCCATGTTTCTTTACTTTCCACTGATACAACAGCCCAGGCAATGGGATATATATGGTTATTTGCATCTCTACCTATAGCAAAGAGCAACTGACCTCTACATATGCCCTTTAGGAAGCAACCATCTAGTCCAATTACCCTCCTACAACCTTCAATCCATCCATCCTTCAATCCTTTGAAACATACATAAAACTTTGAGAAATATATGGTTCCATCAGGCATGACATCTACATCCATCTTCACTGTTGATCCAGGGTTAGTCCTTCTTATCTCTTCTCCATAGCTCCATGTTTTTGCATAATGCTCTTTCAAAGTACCCTCTATCTCCTGAAATGCATACTTCCTTGCATTTCTGCATTGACCAACACTTGCAATCAAATTAAATTTCTTGCTGACTTTAGCTTTCAACTTCCTTATACTCATCTTTGGTTTCTGAAGTATATGATTCATGAAATGCTTTGCTATCCATTTATAGGTAACAATGGACCCAAATTTGAACACTCTTGCACAATTATGCATATCATTTATAGATTTAATCTGGAATGATTTTTCACTGCTCATCCAGGTTGCCCACAACCTAAAGGGACAACCTTTACCCTGTTTATTTGTCTTACCTTTACAACATTTTACCAATAACCTTTCATGATCACTTTTCTCATACCATAAATCATATCCATTTTTGACTGCATAGTTGGTGATACACAACTTCAATTCCAATGGATTAGAAAACTTCATACCCAAAACTGGCACCATTTGCTCCCATTCTTGATTCTCATTATGGACAGGGAACACAACATCCTTAAGCTTCCCATTGTTTGCTTCCTCTTCATCATCATCACTAATATGCCCTAAAAGTTTGTCCAAGAATGGGTCTCCAACAATTTTATCAAAAGTATGTTCCTCTTCATCATCCCATTCATGTTCATATTCCATTGTCATTGTCACTTCAGAATCCTTGTCATCCTCTTCATCCATATAATCCGACTCATACCCTTTACCATCTGCTAATAACTCGTTATCAGCCCAATCAAGAATTGGTTCATTTCGGTGGTCAATGTACACATCTAACTCACTCTGAAGACTATCACTCTCCAGACTATAAACAGTTTCCACAAACTCCCAATAATCAGCATCACAGGCGATTCTTCTAATACCCTCACACAAGCTTTCCTTTCTCATACAGTAGTAGACATTATCACAGGCTCCATTGGTTAATTTCGTAAGCCACAAAAGAAACTCTTTATACGTAAATCCCCCAAAATCCACATCACGTACATTTGTTTTTACGGGGTCTAAGTACACCAATGGGTTTGGCGAAAAGAATCCATTGTAATGAAAATCTACAGATACATACATACATGTAGATGAGGATGCCATGCCAGCAGTCGACTTCAATTCCAACTTCAATTTCAAGCCCTAATCGTCGATTTGATGTATCGATTGATTTCTCACAGAAGAAGGTAATCGAGGTGTGTTAGCTGACGATGACGAACCCTAATTAAATGAGAAAGGGGTGTAATGGTCACGTAAGATTCCACGAAATGTTTTCAACCCAGCTAAATCAATGTTGCCGGCTAAAACAGGTAATAGCCGGTAATGTTGGTTATTTTTGAACGGATGAAAAAAGTTAATTGGGTAAATGAGTACAAAAAAAACAATATTACCCATATGTGAACATTTGAAATACTTAATTACCTTAATAAGTCAAATTCCCTAAGTTTTTTTTAACATATTGGCAATTTAAACTAGTAGCAAGCGGGTTTTTTTTGTGGGAAATGACAATTGACCGGTATACCATATAATAATTATAAATAAAACAGAGGGACTAATATTTAAACCAAACTATTAAAAATACATTAAACAACATTCTGTTACATAAAATTTAATTTTGTTGCTTTTCACTAGAATATTAAGTTATCAAATCAAGCTGAACTCAGCTAATTACACTGAGTAATCGCATCTATTGAAGATTAATTGCTATGACTAATGGAGAAACATAAATGCATGCATCTATTGATTTTAATAACTGTCCTTTCGTGGTTTTTGAGTTGCATTTTATATTCTATAAAAATATAATTTTTTAGAAAATCCCTTTATCTATATGTTCGTTATGAAAACATAATAACATGCTGTATGTTAAACTTTTCAAAAATATTTACTGATAAATAATTTGTTATAATCAATGTCCTGTAAATCATGTTACACGTTAACATTTAATTACAATCAAACCACGAGTAAACACCCGTTTAGAATTGTAGAGATTTTATCATCAAACTATCAATTCAAGTTTGTGTAGAAACTTGAAAAAATAAGCTACTTGTTATGCAAATTTTTTTAGAACGTCGTTTCTTATGCAAATAATACCAACACATGAATTCCAACAGCTCTTAATGAAATACTTAAGTGCAGTTTTGTATCAAAATTATTACATAACCATCTTCAACCTCTTAATTGAAATCACAAAACTAATGAATTAAACAACATTATTTCATAAAAGTAAGAAAACAACAAATCGGTTTTCTAAAAACATCAAAACAGTATGCTAACGCTCTATGTCAATCCAACTGGTTTAGGCATAACATTACCTCAGAAAGAATTATAGACCAAATTAAAAAAAAAAAAAATTGTTTTCTGTAATGCGTTGCCTTTTGTATAACACCATCTATATATATATAATATAACAAGGAATAAATGTTAACATTTGGAAGTTCAGCTCATGTTGTGTTGTTCCATGCATCCATCATTGGTGAACAGTTTACAAGATATAGAAGATTACAACCATTGATTGTTTTGAAGACAGTTGTGAAAGAAACGGATGCCCTGAGAGTGACAAAGTAATTAAATGATTGTTATACATGAAAGATATAAAAGTTTAGGAAGCTAAAACTTGTCTTTATTATTTGTACCTGTAATGCAAAAATGATGTCTGCTTCCTCTACTTGCAATGTGACTCTCTTTAATTTATCATCTCTAGATTGACCGAGTTTCAGGATTCCCTACAAAAAAATGATTTATATAAATTATAGGGATTATTAAAAAGAAAAAGACGAGTGCATTTAATAGTTAATAGATAAGAAGTGAAGTGATGTGTTTACCTGATCACCTAGGACTCTACACATGCATGAAAGTTCCATTATTCCAACAGGTGGTATCAATGTTGACTTGCACACTTCTATATAAAACTTGTTCAACTGTTGTATCAATCAAATATAACAGGAAATTTTATTAATAATTAGAAAAACATGTGTTGTCATTGAAGATAAAATATAATCAGCATACCTCTCCTATTGTTGTATCCTTCTTTCCCTTTCGGAAAAGCTTCACAGCAGAACATAGTACAATCTACACCAAAAAAGACTTTAGAAGTTAGACATCAATAAAACACTACTGATTGAATAATATTTTTAATGAAGGAATAATAATAATAATAATAATAATAATAATATGGTAAGAAAGCAAACCTGTTGATGTTGGGGAAGGGATTGTATTGTGTCAACTATTGGTGATTTGTAAGCCCTTGATAAAGCAATAGCCATGTGGTCAACCCTCACCTATAACAATATGAGAAATAAGTTATATCATTCACCAAAATCAATATCAAATCAAAGTTCAGTTCTCAAATTTATTTAAGGACTAAATAGAAGAAATGTTTACCATGGAGGACAGATTTGAAGTGGAAGTAGATTCTCTGAGCTCTATTTCCAGCCTCTCAATTGCACCCCTGGAAACCAAGGATAAAAGCGTCAGTTTAATCCAAATATATGAAACCTTAAGAGACTTTTTAGGCAATAAAACAATTTTTTTTTAAATGGAGAATATGCCAACCTGCAGATACCAAGAGCTTTCCTCATATCTCCAGATGAAGCTGCAACTTTCTGCCAATCAATATTTAAGTTGAGTCAAATCTTATAATTTTTTACATTAAAATTAAAAGGAAAATATATAATACTGTGGTGTACAATTTACTCACTCTTGCACAAAGTTCCAGTGCTTGTGGCTGGAAAACAGTGTAAGGAAGTGCCTGAAGAAACAAAACATTCATCAAAATATATACATTTTACAGAAAATTGAGTAACTCAAAACAAAAAAAAAATAAAGTAAAATCAAGAGTGCTAAAAAGATTAACAAAGAATATTTACCATTAGCCGTTGTTTGAGAATCATGATGATCTGATCCATGGTGTATGCTCGAAAAGACAAAACCATTGGTTTGCCTAGTAGAAACAATTACAGAAAACGTCCATTAAAAATTTCCAAAAATTTGGCTAAATTTAATAAATAGCAACCTAGTTTAGAGATTGTAACTCACAATTTAGAGATTGTAGTTTTGGAAGAAAACGATCTGCTAAGTCAATTGCATTAGCTATACCTGTAAAACAAGATCCAATATGAGAAACATAGATAAATCAAGAACGCATTGAACTGAAAACACAATCTAAAATCATACCTATCAATATAATTTTTGAAAAGGGCAATGTTGTTAGCATAAATAGATCATGGAGCACCACCCGGTCCTTTGTAATCAAGTAATCCAATTCATCAGCAATAACCAACCTGTTAACAAAGCATTTATCAATAACTATTCACATTGCTATAATTGGATAGATTTTTCAAATGTAGCTAATAATCTTACATCATTTTTGTTCCAGATGACTGTTGCTTTTGAGAATATAATTGTTGAATTTGTCTTAAGGGTGTAGAACGATTGTGGACCTTCTTATGTGGTTGACTCTTTCCAAGTATCTGCCAATAGCATTAGCTTTTAAGCACTAAGTTGGTTGCATATGAGCCAATTCATATTTATGTATTGATAGGTTTTTACCTTGTTGAAAATTTCTGAAGTAGTTGAGAGAGAGGTACAGTTTATGCCCAAAATTTCTGGGAATTGACCTCCTGTCTGGATACAATAACCATGATTCCACTAATTATAATATTCATCTTTTAGATGGTGTGAGTAATTATGTAAATGCATTAGTTCCACTGGGATTACAAAATGAACAATCAGGCATATGGAGATTACCTCTTTAGCCCAAACAGCCAGAGACTTCTTCACGTTTTCCATGGAAAGTGATTTTCCAGTCCCTGGGCACCCACATACATACAAGCTCCCAGCCTTCTCTTGCTCAATGGATTGTTTACAGAACTCCACTATCCGTTTCTGTTCATCCTCTCTGCATACTGGTACAGATGGAGCTGTGGATACATGTAAAGCCTCCTTCACCGCACTTAATTGCTCAGAATCTACATAATAGAAGAGCTTAATTCAGAATATACGCACCAATGAGCACGAATTTCATAGATCTGATCACACATTAGGTAATTCAACTATGAAAAGAAAATCGAGATAACCTGTTGGATTCCAGATCGGTTTATCCAGGAAACTATCCAACAACTTTTTCTTTGGGGATTTCCTCATTTTCGTGATATTATCAGTAGACGCCGTTTCATTCACCTGAAAATAATCCTTGTACACTTAATTTCATTCTAAGAATTTGGTATCAAGATATATCGAGTAACATATTAAGAAATTCCGAAAACTCACATTTGTTCGACTTTTATTGGGACTATCATCGACGCATCGACGAGGAGATTTAGTTTTCAACGGAGAGCATGGCTTGGGTGGAGTACTGAAAACAGGATCGTCCGATAAACCTGAATTAGATCTCAACCGCCGTTTCTGAGGCGAAGATACGTCGGCGCCGACAATTGACATGGGCGACGATCTACCACCGGCGATTGATGGCATTTTCTGTTGTTTTACCGGGAAAGCAGATCAAAGATGTCTAAGATTTGGTAGTGGTTGTTGGGCATGAAAATGGAGGTAGCGGCAGAAGCAGAAATATAGTGATTGGAGAGGAAATGGTTTTAGCGGGAAACGCCATATCAGGTGGCAAGTGAAAATTTCCCGCCATCTCGATCGCAAAAGAAAGAAAACCACGAATAAAGCCAAACAATCCCGCTTCTATATTCCACTTGGCATGACAATAATAAGTGTAAAAATTAACATGCGACTTGTCACACCCACCATATGTGCATACATATAAAATTAGCATTTTCCGGTGATTTTTGGGCTTGTCTCAACTCTCAATATTGATTGCTGGATTATTTGTTGTTTCTATCTGTATCAACTCTCACTTGGTCTTCCCTTGTGTTACTAACCGATAGCTAATTGTTAGTAAGTGTTGTTTTGTGGATTTTCATTCATGGGTATTTATATTAACAAAAACATACTGAAAATGTATTAAAATTATTAAATTGTCATGCCATAAATTTAATGGTGATGTCAAAAACAGAACCAAGGATGATAGACAATTATAATCATAAACTATTTTGTTAAATGGGTGACCACAAACATAATGGTAAATGTCATCTTTCGACATTTATTAATATTTGGTGCAATCACAATGAAAAGATAAATCACGGTGCTGTGATGATAAGGAAGGTATTGTTTAACACTTAATTTTAAAACATACTTATTTTATTCTCCAATAGCACATATTTACTACCAAAACAAAATATGCCAAACAAAATAAATAAATATAGACTTACTAAAAGATAAGTTCCTATATATATTATTTGATATCAAATTGAATTTTTTAAAATAAATGTATGTGTGTAGTAAATCTCTTTTTTTCCACACACACACTCTCTCTTCTTTGTATCTTCTCCTTCGCCATGATATTATTCATATTTTTTCCTTGCCATTTTGTAAATCAATAAACAACCAATGTGGGAGTTTAGGTGGTCATGACAAGCTTGACATCATTCCATCCCATCTCCATAAGACAACCATCATGCCACCTAATATCTACATCAACAATCAACATGTTTAATTTTTTCGCAAAAAAAAAAAAAAAAATAGTTTAACATGTGACGATGGTATATATTATTTTTGTGAACGTATTATTTTTTTTGTTTTTTTGGTCCAGGTTAAAAAGCATTTGGAATCCTTATGATCTCAATTATTCTTGGGTGGTGATCATACAACCAAAAAATAATATGGTTTAGTTAGAATTTAATTTTGGTCTCTAAGGTTGGTAGGTGTGGGCAACGTCCACACCGGCATTTTTAGATAAAACAAAGAAACGGCGTTAGACGAAGGTAGAGACGGCAACGGGAAGCAACGGCAGTTGTATAACGCCCAAAAACGGATGAAGGGGGCGGTGTTTGTGCGTTATAACGCCTAAAACGCTCATAATGCGTTGCCCATACCCAACACTCTAATAATAAGGGTGATTTGGGTTTGGGTTGATGATTCGGTTGTTATAACAATTTAAAAAGTAGTAATAAAGTGTAATATCAAATATTATTAAGTAATATTCTAGGAATGAACTAACTTCGGGTTACCGATGCATTGAAAGAGTGTAGAGAGGGACGAGCTCATTTTGCTCACGGCAGTACAATTGATCAGGTGACTTGTTATTTGGTGGATCGTACTGGCTAATTCCTTTGCAGACTTGTGTGTGTGAATTTAACTGTTAGTTTCGGGTGAGTTTTTCATTATGCCACGTATCCTATTGTATATCCTTTGCATGGTATGATAGAAATACTATTAGAGTACTAGTATGTTGGTTGACTAGGATAACTCCTTGATATGCATGTGCAGTTTAGGACACTTGGTTGGTATGTTAGACTGGTAGGGTCTTGTTTGTTACTCGTATGATACTGTTAGGAGTTATGTTTGGTTAGGGTAACCAAGTAAGGCCAGTTGTCATGGTTATGCATGTTTGACCATCGAAGGATTTAATTAAGAAATGATCGATAACAAGGTAACTAGGGAGAGTTGGTTGCCAAAGGAATGTAATATGCTAGTTTATGTTATGTGTTCATGTTATATGATTATATGGAAATAAAAGCTTTGGTTCTATAGTTTAAGTTGGATAGCTTGAGAACTCTTGGTCTAATGCCTGATGGTGATGTTCTTGTTTGATTATTCGTTCTCGGGCGGATAATCTGTTCAACTGTCTATCTAATCCATGACTACATGTGACTTTATGTATTGCATGGAAGATCAACCCCCCCCCCCACCCCGACATTTGCATGGAAGACCAGGATCTAGCCCCTGCCATTTCCATGGAAGACCATGATCTGTCCTCTATTAATGGTATGGAAGACCAAGATTTGGACCATGGTAATGGTATGGAAGACGAGGATCTAGCCCTTAACACTTATATAAGTAAATACCATGATTTGGACCATGGCAAGATGTGACTGTAAGACTATGATTTGGCCCATAGCATTTGCTTGTGGTTTGAGTGGACCCGTTATTTCATATATGATTGTTATATATGTTATATGCATGTTGATAGGGGAGTTGATATGTCGGTGTTAGAGCCAAAGGTTTGTGTGGATGCATTGTATGCATGATGGTATATGTGGTATACTAGGGGGCTCACTAGGTTTATGCTTATAGTTATGGATTAAAATTTCCAGCTAAGTCATGAGAAGAGCTTGACGAGACTATACACACGCATCAAATATTTCGCGATTTTGTAATTTAGCTTCGATAATGTTATGGTTTTTAATAAATGGAATTCACTTATTATTTAAGTAATGAGATTTTAATCAGTTATTCTATTTTGAGAATGAAAAATCTATTTCTAATCCTCGGGACGTTACATATTGTCCTATTACAACAAATCATTTTCAAGTTATACCTTCATTTTGTTTATTGTAGAGGATGATGGGAAATACGTTACATGAGAAAACGGATAAGTGAGATGTTTAACAAAAGAAAAAGAGTAAACACAAAAAGATTCTACCGGCGACATGTTTAGAAAAGGCAAAAGAGTAAACATATAGAGATTCCAACGGTCGCAAGGTTGTAGGCGAGAAGAAAGTGGTGGGTTGTAGTGAATGTGAGAAACATGTTGTCATATAAAAAAGAAAAATGATTTGGGGATAAGGAAAAAATTAATTATGTAATTCTAATAATAAAGGACAGGTAAAAATCTTTTTTACATTACACTTAACAAAAAACCACGTTGTTAGCCAAAAAAGACCAAATATGATGGATTTTAAAACCATGAGGATTGACCATGCTAAATCTCTGGAAGTTAGATTTTAACTTTGACAATATGGATCGTTTATGTAATTTACATGTATAATTATAATTAGATAACATATACTTTGAGTTTCATTTTTACTTGTAACGACGTAATTTTTCAAACCAATTTTTCATTTTTAAAACACATAAAACTCATATATTATATTTCATAAAATCATAAGTGTCTCAAAGTCAACATAAATCCACAACAAAAGTCAAATCCCAGAATCCTCAACATAATCTCGAACAGGTGTGTACAATCATGTCGGTGCCTTCCCGCGATCCTCGGAAGCACCTGAAACACATAATACATAACACAGTAAACATAAAGCTTAGTGAGTTCCCCAAAATACCACATACAACACATTAGCCACTCGAGGCTATAACTCTGTAAGACCCTTCGGTCAATGTGTCTCAGTGGAACCCTCTAGTCTCATGGCTCGTTGGACCCTCCGGTTCAGTCTGGTTGGGACCCTCCAATCCCATGGCTCGTTGGACCCTCCGGTCCGGTCTGGTTGGGACCCTCCAGTCTCATGGTTCGTTGGACCCTCCGGTCCGGTCATAATATAGCATATATCACACAGACAATTGCACAACTCAAGTAAGCACATAAAGACCTTCCAGTCAGACATAAATACCACTCTAGGTAAAGTATAGTGAGAAGACTCACCTCATAAGCTAGCTAGTAAGAATCTCGTGCTCGGAAATCCTCGATCTAACCTCCGCATATCATATTAGATAAACATCTATAATCAATATCCCACTCTTACTCAAATACACCAAAAGTGCTCTTACTCTCTTTCTAACCCTTGGAATGGGTAAAAGACCATTTTACCCCTCCCTGGTCTCAAATGCTCATATTTGACCCAACCATAAAGTCAACAGAAGTCAACACGAGTCAACAGTCAAAGTTGACCTGACTCGCCGAGTGCATTCTTGTGACTCGCCGAGTCCACTAGTATCCTCAGAGCTCTCCCTAGGGTTTCACTCAGCTCGTCGATTTGACTTCCAACTCGACGAGTTATCACTGGGTCAAGAACGCTGGGGTAACCCGATCCAACTCGTTGAGTCATCTCATAGACTCGGCGAGTTGACTCATTCGAATTTCTCATTTGGGCACCTGAGGTCAGATATGCAACTCCAACCTCTAGATATAGCCTCCTGATACCCAAAAGTCACGTAAAGGTTTGATCTTGATGACCATGCATGGCATATATTGCTCTATATGCCATCACTACTCCATTAATGCTTCCAAAACACAAAACTCCTTGGTTAATTCACTAAGGCTCTAAACTTTTGGACTCTCTGGACCTCACAAGGTCCAGATCTGAAGTCTAAACTCGAAAAGGGGATTGATGCATCCATAGCCCCATCAAGAAGGTGTTACAAGCCCTAAATATCAAGAACATGAGATCTAATCATCCTAAAAGAAAGGTAAAAGCTTTTTACCTTGATCTGAAGCTTGAGATGAAGAAGAAACAAATCTACTGGCCCTCCCTTCTTGATATTTGATGAACCTTCCTTCCTTTTCAAGGAAATGAGCCAAAATGAACACAAGATTAGCTATCCTCACCACTCTAGCTCACTATGGACGTTAGGGTTTATCTCAAGGATGTAAGGGTTCTGTTGAGACGAAATGGAGGCTATAAGTGCCCTTAAATAGGCCGCATGCCCGAGAATTTAGGGTTTCCTTCAGCAGCGCTGACTCGGCGAGTCGCCTCACAGACTCGTCGAGTCCATTCATCAATCCATGTCACCAGACGCGATTCTACTCGACGAGTTGAGGCACCAACTCATCGAGTCACTCCACAAATCTCAAATTAAATGATAAAAT